AGCGTAAGCAGAATTCCAATGTAATTCTGACTAAAATCCCAAGGGAATCCTGAAAAGGATTCAAAGGAAATTTCCAACACAATTATAAGGAGAATTCCAAGATAATTCTAAGAGAGTTCTGTCTAAGGGATTTATTAGGAGTGAGTAAAATTCCTAGAGAAGAAGGAGAGTCCCAAAGTAATTTTAGAAAGAATTCAAGAAATTTTTTTAGGATTATTCCAATGGCATTCTAAGAAGTATTCTAAAGGAATTTTAAGGATAGCTACAAGGAAATGTCCAACATAGTTTTGTGTTAAATTTCAAAGGAATACTTAAGAGACTTTCAAAGCTATTTCTGTAACAGAAATCAAAGAAGAGTTTATAGAGAATTCTGAGGAGCATTTCAATGAATTTACGGGACAGCTCTTAGAGAATTCTGAGTGGAATTTAGAGGGAATTCCGAAATAATTCCATGGGAATGTCAAGAGATAGGGGAAATGACAGACTATTTTCGGCAACCCAAATAGAAACTCTAATTTCACTGGATTTTCTTACGAAAACACTTCGCTGAATGCATTCGCCCTCCCCTTGGCTAGTTTTTTAACCTGGAAATTGATGGGCGGGCCTAATCTTATACTTCATAGTGGAGCGTTGGAGACGGTTGGTTTAGGTCCGGCATCGTTGGCTCATGCCGTGACAGAATAGCGTCATGAGCATGCGATGAGGATTACTGAGCTTCCTCTCTGATGAACCATTGCATAAGAGAACCAAAGTTCTAGCCAGAAGTGATAGTATCACACTTGTTACTCCTTTATTTGAAAGCCGTGTTGTAGTACGCTTACGTATAGGCACTGTCGTTGGGTGCGATACTGGCGGGTTTTTCCGTAAATCACTCTTATTTTATTTATTTTTACGCAGATAGATTTATTTGGGTTTGCAAGGGAATTATACTATTGAAATATTTCAGAAAGTGCCCAACAGTGCTCCTTCTACTTGCGTGACAAGCTTTCGTTGTTGTTTTCATTGAGGTATTACTCAGGGAACAATGTTAAACACCATTTTTGTACATGGTATTGCAACTAATTTATATGTGCTTCATTTTGATTTGGGATAAGTGTTTGAACTATGGCTCGGGATTTCCACTGTGGCGTGCTTCTATTGTGAAATAACCATACGTATTTTTGTGGTGCGACATAGTGGAAACGTGAGAGCGTAGTTGAAGCATATAGGGTTACGGTATGTAATGTGGGTCTAGTCCTTTCATTCGGCCTATCACGCAAATAAATAATTAATTAAGGAATATTACACAAAAAATAAGGAAAATATTGATCACTGATGGTTGATAAATGTGTACCACACACAAATCAATTTATATCACAACATTTCAATACATTTTCAGCTCTCGTAAGTAATAAAACTGGTTGAGAATATCACAATGTTCGGAGTTTTTAGCCGCCATGACTTATAAGGTTAAGATGGGAAGGTTGACTGACGATCATCAAATGGCCTGATTATGGCATTTATTGATTGGAATTACCTGATAATACACACTAGACGTAAAACTTACAGTTGCTGTTTGAATATTTTATGTTTATTTTAATTGTTTAACAACGTTTTCACAAGTAAAACATGGACCCAACTTTAGGGACACATTTCTTTTCTATGTTCCTAACTATGGCCCATGAAATTCATTTGACAGCATATAGCAATAAGAGTAACGTCAACAATGTTGTTTTGCATTTGGATGATAAGGAACGAACAGGAAGGGAGATTTTTTCTGCCAAACCTGTATAATGAACATCACAATGTTCTGATTTAGATATTCTGCGGTCAAAAGACGATAAGCGAAATTTTTAATTTTTAATTTTTAAATTGAGTGATTTAATGTAGTTTTCGTAAAATTTTCTCTAAGAAATGTTTTGAGGAATGAAGAGCATTAAGTTAACAGTGATAGTGATAAAAAAAAATACATCAGAAAACGTTACCAAGAGCGTTTTTTTGAGGATCAAACAAGATAGGACGAAGTTGCATCCATAAATAGACCCAATTTGGGGACAATAGACCGATATTACATACATTTCCCTGGTGAGTTTTTGTCTTAAAAAAAGTAAGTTTTTCAACTTTTCGTGGTTTCTGATAGCAAACGACATGATAAGCATATCTAAGCATACCATTTAGCAGTATAATATCGTTTGCAGGTAAATTCATTGATGAGTTATGATTAAAAACGTAATCGATGGCTGCATATTAGACCGAGGTTAGGGACGTATACCCTACCCTATGTAATTTAAAAATCAGCTAGGATACTAACTTCAAAGTGAAGCATTTTAGTCACTTGAAGGTGTCATCTGGAACGAACTATATAATAATATATTAAATATAGGTCAAAGTCAAAAACAACTTGAAACACGTTAAATTTTAGATTACATTCACAAGTGCAGGTACTTAATAAAGCATGGTAGGTAGATTAGAGATTTCAATTATGTATTAAATTAGACTAGAGATATCATAATCAGCAAACGAACTTAAATAAGAAAATTTAGACAGCCTAGTAGCATTAAGTGGATTAACAGAAGAGTTAGGATGCGGAGGGTCCGCTTAGGGAGGCAACTAGCCTTTAAAGCAACTAGCAACTAGCCTTTTCATGTATTGCCTGTTTATTTTGATTATTGCTTTAAAATATCAATTTGGTATATATGTGAAAGGGAGTGGGAGTGGGAGATAGATTTTCGGTTTATTTACATTTAGCATCACTATGTGTCATTTCCTCAAAACCCCCCAATAACCGGCCTCTTCAATCCCTTCCTTTTCCCATGGCGTTCAAGTGGTCCGCATAGACTATTCAGCCATTACCCGTCCTTTATTAAAATGAAAATGAAAACACTTCGCTGAATGCATTCGAACGATTCTTTAGGCTTTCAGCTTCAATTAGATTATATTTTTACCACTGAGAAAAAGCAATCTAGCAGGGTTTTCTTGAAATGAAACACACGCACTACAAAATGCTACTGATTTCGAGTTGCCGATGAAAGCACAGCCTTTTAATACGCAGCTCAGATTATGGGGGCTTTTATTTAGGACTTATACAATTTGAATTCTCAGACCTATAATCCGACCTTGAAAAAAATTTCAAGCTTGACCATGAGATGCTTTCAATATTCAAAACTAAAAGAAATATTCGAATAGCATATTTTTTGCGTTTTAACCTGACACCCTGAAAATTGAGCTATTTTTGAATTATTGACAAGCAAAATGTTCCCACTCGCTCACTGCGGAATAGAAATTTGTTTAGCATCAACAATCAAAGAACAGACTGTGCCAAATATAGTCAATTGAATAGAATGGTATCTTCCTACAATACATACTGTGAATCTATTGACATAACAATGAATATAATTACGCTTAAAAAACTTTCTTCACGAGGTTAGCTAAGCATCAATAATAAAATATATAAGTTATGCAAGTACTTGAATTAAAATTGTAGCAATTAGCATTTAAGTAAAATTTTAAAATGGTCTACACTGATTGACGACAAATAAATAAATAAATAAATGAAAAGTTTCGTTCCGTTTCCCATACATTTTACCATACAAAATTTAAAATTCTCCCAAAATTCCCCATCATAAACAAATTCGATAAAATTTGGCACAGTTTTTGGGGACCTCAATACAGATCGAAAGAGCAGTGACAGTTGGCCCACCCTAATGATCATATTCCTAGTAACATTCTCTCCAAAACTACCTTGGAATCAACCTTTAACTAGTTCTTCTTACAGTTTTTTTTTTAATTGAAGTCAAATTCCTTGCAATTCTTCACAGAGTTCCTCTACAATTATTCCTGGAATAACTTTGAAAATCTTCCAAAAATTCATTTGGCATTCTCCTTCAAAATGGTATAGCAATTGTGTCAAAATCCTAAAGGCGTTTTTGAAGTTTTTTAATTAATTTTGGCTTAACAAGCTTAATAAAAAATTACCATAAACGAACGATAACCCAAATCATTAAACTATTCCACAAATGGTTTGGATGATACCCCGAACACGTCGTTAAGCAAATTAACCATAACATTTATATTAGAAAATTAATTAAATTAAAAAAAAGTGGGTCACAATCAACCACAGTTTGAGAACCTCTTTGTTAATCTATGGAATCGAGTCATGTCAATAAGTCAGTCATTGCTCAACTTTGATGACAAACGTTAACTCACAAAATACTCATACGAATCATCATTCTCCGATGGGGTAATGTCAGCTCAAGACAGCTTCCTTGCAATAATAATAATAATAATAATCGATTTCAGATGAAAATGCATAAAGGCCAGCTGCCAACGTTCCTATATACCGATCCAAATGACGCATATTAATTTTTCAAGCTCAGGGTAAAACACTGACTTGGCTGACTAAGATGAGTAGTTGTGACTTGAGGTAGATTCCGGCCAAACCAACATGTGGCCCAACCACAGTAGTGACTCACAGAGGGTATTGGTAGTAGGTAGACACTGTCCATCGTCACTCTCCCGGCCGTCGACGATGGTTGCACGGTAGTAAATAGAGAAAAATAAAACATCAACCTGACCGGACCAAATGAGATGCGTTTCGGCTGGCTGCTGCTAAAAGGGAAATACTTATTTGTGCGAGAGAGAGAGAGAGTGAATGGGTGAGTCAGAGTCGGTTTGGAGTTGTTTATTGTTGCAGAAAGCCAATACCAGAACGGGTTATCCATTAGTTAGTTCAAAGTGCTGCCTGCTTAATGCTGTACAACTTTGGAGATTCTACTCAGGCTAGGCGCTTGATATACGAGTAAACAAAAAGATCGATTATTGCACGCTTGCTACCACCGGGCACCCATGTGGTTCGTGTTGAAATATTCAAAAGTAAACAGAATGGGGTGGTTCAGAACCATTTGTTCGTCGTTCTCTTCTAGCATCTTTTCTCACTGACAACAGCTTATCGATATGACGTGTTTGATAAGGAAGTTTCTAATTATGCGTTTGTGTTTTATTCTCTTTCTATCCTGTTTCAGCGATGAAGGTCTAAGGCACCTTCACCAGTTCCGCACGGAACCTAAGCACTAGATAGAGAGCACTGATTAGTGCTCGACGCAACTCGCAACGATTAACTGCAAACCGAAGATCAACCACAGCGAGAAAAAACACACTCAGCAGATCCATAATGGTGTTATCATACTGCAGGTAAGTGATTGTTGGAAATTGTTTCGTTCTTAAGCGAAATCGACAGTATCAATAGTTCCAAATGCATCCGCTTCAGATATATTGATAACATCTAAATCGCGTCTGAGTGCACGCCACTCTCGCGTATCATCACAAACAAACTCAGACCAACCTCGGAGGTCAATAATCCGGCAAAACATCTAATATCCGTTGTCGAAATGAGCCAAAGGTCAACCGGTGCCAGCGGCAGTAATAAGCAGTCAGTGGTCACTGCTGCTGCTGCTGTTGCTGTTGCTTCGTCTACAGACGCAACAGCATCAACGACGTCGACGACTGCCATAGCAAAAAGCACAAGTGGTGGTGGTGGTAGTAAAATTGCTCCAATGGTTCTAAAAACTAGTGAAACTGAAACTCTAGCCGGAAGGGATCGATTGAAACCATCATCAACAGTTCGAGCACTGAACTTTGATGACGCTGAGCTAGAAAAGATGAACAGCCCTCCGGGAAGCGCCGAAAAGAAGGATGATTCCAAGACGAGAAAAGAAGATGTGAATCCTATGGCGACTGCTATTACAAAGGAAACCGATATCAAAACGAAGAACATTCCAAATGTTTCGAATAAACCGTCCGTGGTGAAGAAGGAAGAAGTCAAGACGCAGACATCTGCAACTACGACTACTGTTTCATCGGTATCGTCCAAGCCGATATCTAGTCCTGCCGTTATTTCAGCTTCCAAACCACCGCACAGTAGTAGCCCGAAGCAGGCCCTGGATGCAGAGGTTAAACCACATGGAAGTCCATCCAAAGGAAGCTTGAAGAAGATGCACCTACAGTCAAAAGTCGAAGAAACGCCCAAGCCAACGCTGCTCAAGTCATCATCTGTTCCGGCATCTGTCCCAGGTAATACGAGACCCACTCCAGTTCCCCCACTTCAAATGCAATCGAGTACTCAGCTGCCGGCTCCCGTAAAACCAACAGCAGCAGCGTCACCAACTGCTACCGCTGCTCCTGTTGTTCTACGGCCATCGTCCGGAACTAACCTGCAAAAGTCTGCTTCGTATCGAAAATCATCCTACAAACCACAGCACTCTCATTCGCTCCGGTACTCCGGTAGCGGCAGTGATATCTCCAATCTAGTTCGCGTTCGTAACTCAACCCTTGGAAACTCGGCTCCAACTCTATCGATCACCTCCAAGGAAAATGGATTCAGTCAACGCCGATCGACTTCTTCTTCGGCCGCTCGCAGTGGAGCAGTAGCCCGGCATCGCCTAAGCTTCGTAGCCAACATTTCGCCACGATCTCATTCGCCCATTCCTGCTAGTCCCATCGATAGCCCTCGGATCAACTCGCCGAGTATCATCCATTTTCCGTTCGTTCCAATCAAACGGATTACCAACAAAAACAGTGATAGCCGTCGATGGTCCGTGGCTTCGTTGCCTAGTTCGGGCTACGTAACTACTCCGGGAAGCTCAAACATCTCTTCGCAATGTTCCAGTCAAGAAAAGCTGCATCAATTTCCTCCGGTACCAACGAATGACGATCTGCACATGCTGTCACTACACTTTTCCAGCAACGATAGCAATCCCGGAATTGACGGCCGCAATCTGCTTCACCATCATGGTTTCCACCATCTTCATCATCATCAACTCCCGCATCAACACAGCGGTAACGGCTTCAATCCACCGGTGTCCCCTCTTGCTCCACAATATCAACACTCAATCCAGCAACCGCTTAGTCTACAATCGCATGCGACCCATTGCAATAGTCCCCATTCGGTGAAATCCTCCGGCAGCTGTAAGGATGAACTCAACAACTTCTGCGGATGTCGTTCTCCGATCCACCGACCACGATCGCGCAGCTTAAGCAGTCCTTCCCATTCTCCTATCACCGACAATGAGATATCCCTGATGAATACCTTCTACAAAGAACGATTCCCCAAAGCCACGCAACAGATGGAAGAACGTCTGTCACACTTTATCAACGAGAACAAAAACATCATCAACGATAGCGCACGAATCTCCCAACCGATCGTACGTTTCGTTCACCACCAAGTCCTGGAAATGGCTCGCGATTGTCTCCACAAGTCTCACGCTAAGCTAATAACTTCCCGGTACTTTTACGAAATGAACGAAAACCTCGAACGCCTGCTGCTGGAAACGAAAGAAAAATCCCCGGAAGCCGCCCCGGAAATCACCGGTGTGATCAAGAAACTACTCCTGATCATCTCTCGTCCGGCGCGTCTGCTGGAATGCTTGGAATTCGATCCGGAAGAATTCTACCGCCTGCTGGAAGTAGCCGAAGGCCAGGCAAAGGTTACGCAAGGTATCAAAGCGGACATTCCTCAGTACATTATCCAGAAGCTGGGTCTTAACCGGGATCCGATTGCCGAACTGCAGGAAGAACTAATCGAACAGGCATCTCTGAACTCGTCCATCAGTACCAACTGTGATTCATCGGATAACAACAATTCGTTTTCGCCTAACCAATCGTTCGGTGGCATGGGATGGCTGAACCGAAGTGGATCGATTACTTGCTCCACTCCCAAAGGTTCTGGCTCGTTGAACAATAGCATCAATACATTAAATAACAACCAGTCGAGCAATATAAATAGCAACAGTACGGTTGGAACTACCGGTGCGTTAAACAAAAGCTTCAAGGCACGAACGGTCAATACCGTACCCAGTGAAAAGGATTACGATATGCTCAAGTTGATCTCGAACGGAGCCTACGGGGCAGTTTACTTGGTGAAGCACAAGCAAACGCGACAGCGATTTGCCATGAAGAAGATCAACAAAAACAGTCTAATGCTGCGGAATCAGGTGGAGCAGGTGTTTGCCGAGCGGGACATTCTCAGCTTTGCTGACAACCCGTTCGTAGTTAGCATGTACTGTTCGTTCGAAACCAAGAAGCATCTCTGTTTGGTGATGGAATACGTGGAAGGTGGAGATTGTGCAACGCTCCTGAAAACCATTGGTCCGTTGCCATTCGACATGGCGCGGTTCTACTTTGCGGAAACGGTACTAGCGGTGGAGTATTTGCATAGCTACGGAATTGTGCATCGGGATTTGAAGCCGGACAATTTGCTGATCACGGCTTTGGGGCATATCAAGCTGACGGATTTCGGTCTCTCCAAGATGGGATTGATGTCGCTGGCTACGAACTTGTACGAGGGATATTTGGACAGTGAAACAAGACAGTTTTCGGATAAACAGGTTTTCGGAACACCAGAGTACATTGCACCGGAGGTGATCTTAAGACAGGGATACGGAAAACCCGTGGACTGGTGGTCCATGGGAATCATTCTATATGAATTTTTGATTGGCTGTGTACCGTTCTTTGGAGAAACGCCGGAGGAACTGTTTGCCCACACGGTGAACGACGATATCGAGTGGCCGAACAACGATGATTGGCCGATTCAGGACGAAACGAAAGACCTAATAACAGTGCTGCTTCAGCAAAATCCACGGGATCGGTTAGGAACAGGTGGTGCTCATGAGGTGAAGGAACATTACTACTTCATTGGGTTGGATTGGAACAATCTTCTCCGGCAGAAAGCTGAATTCGTTCCTCAGTTGGACAATGAAGAGGATACAAGTTACTTCGATACACGAGTCGATCGTTACAACCACGAAATATGTGGTGACGACACGGACGATATGGAAGATTCGCCACTGTTCGGATCGTTCAGCTCGTATTCGCCGCAGTACAGAAAACAGCAAGCAGCTACAACCAATCCACCTTCCACGGTTACGCAAACACAAGAACAGCTGGCTTCCCCACTTCCTGGCTCCAATCTTCCATCGTCCCTTGTTAAGGAAAAGCATCAGCTTCCATCACTGTTCGAAGACAGTTTCGATATAAATCAACCGAAGCCAAACGACATCAGCAAGCTCATCATTACACCGGAACTGCGCAAGTTCAACATCAACCCATCCAAATACAAGATGCCATCGACGCCAGATTTGGAGTACCTTCCGGAGCTGGCCACACCTGATCGTGAAGATTTCATCAGCCATTTGAACCTGCGGCCACACGTTCAACAGCCGGTACCCACAACTCCGGAAACCCCGGAAACCAACAAACGGTTCAGTGATTTCTACCCACTTTCTTCGTTGAAACAGCTTTCAACGCCAGAATCATCGCAGACGGATAGTGACGACGTATCTCCGCAGATCCAACGAAAGCGCAAGATCGTCCACAGCCGAGGAATCCTGCCAAAGTTCTCGATATCGATCGAAGACGATCAAAGTGGTCACGAAACGTCCTCTTCGACGCCGTCTCAGGTGATCAATTCGTCACCTTCCAGTTCGCTGAATAACCTGAATCAAGCGCGCCATATCGTGAAAAGTGCTTCGGCATTGGGACTCTCGCTAATGACGTCCTCGGATGATTCATCCACAGCGATAGCGACCATTGGAGGAGGTGGCGGAGGTCTACACAATGTTCCGACAACCTCTTCGAATCTTTCGTCTTCATCTGGTTGCAGTACCGGCATAACCTCTACGATGCATTCCGCCGGTAACTGCTCGAGCACAGCCAGCTCACGTGATACTTCTCCCTGTCGGGAACTCAGTCCTCTAGTCACTAATCTTAAGCCGCCATTGATCATCCGAAGGGGACCGCGAGGTTTCGGTTTCACCGTGCATACGATTCGGGTGTACTATGGAGATACAGATTTCTACACGATGCACCACCTGGTAATGGCCGTGGACGAAGGAAGTCCCGCGTTCGAAGCAGGACTAAGACCTGCCGATTTGATCACGCATGTCAATGGGGAAGCGGTGCAAGGTCTCTACCATACACAGGTGCTACAGTTATTACTTAGTGGAGCGGAACTGGTCAGTCTACGAGCAACTCCTCTGGAACACACAAGTATTCAAAGCGGCGGTCGGAAGCGCGAACCGTGGCAGAGTAAGTTTGCGAAGAAGAGCACCCACAGTCGTCGGAAGCAAAAGAAGGATAACGAAAAGAAACGCAAGACGTCGCTGTTCAGAAGAATCAGTAGTAAACGTGCCAGTGCCGAAATGCAGCAAATGGTGGCTGGGATACAGTCGCCAACGTCGGTTCCGCCCAGTAGAAGCTTCCAATCGTTCACCAGATTCCAAGGCAGTCAACCCAATCTGGTAGCTGCCGGAAATGCGATACCTTCTGCCATCCAACCGGTGCCTTCGACATCGTTAACCGCATCACCCGTCAATCGGTTAAGCCTTTCGCCACTGAACACGATCAATGCGTACCAGCCGTCTCCCGCTTCTTCGCCAAGCACTTCAGCTCCTAGTACTCCAACCGGAACGATTACCTACAACGATGGAGCTCCGCTCTATCAGCGGCCATCTACATTGCATGTTTTGAAACACAAGCTCCATTCGTCACCTTGTCCCACCACCAAGGGTCTTCACACGACACCAGCTGCAGGCCGACCGAACCGAAGGAAATCAGCCGACCATATGCCACTGTCTCCGCTCGCCAGAACACCTAGTCCATCGCCGCTACCGGCATCGCCAACACGTTCCTCTAGCCCGCTAGCATTTCCGGTCGTCCACCCGCTAGGATCATCCAACACTACGCAATCCTACAGTCCCGGTGGGCTACCGAATGCATCTACCGTTGCACCACAACCCGTGCCCGGTATTGTCACCATCAGTGGTTCTCCCACCCCGCAAACGAAGAAAGGTTTCCCACGGGCCAAAACAGCCGAACCCAGTTCTCCGCTACTCCGACGGGCACTGTCACCCGATCGACTTCACCCACGAAGCGCTGAGAGTAAATGCGTCCTATCACCCTTGTGCTGCAATACTCCTCTGAAAACGCCACGTCAGGTTACGGGAATTTGGCGCTCCAACCAAAACTCCACCATCACTACGGCCACTTTACCGTCGAATGCTGGCCCGGTGACTACGGCTCTTGTTGCATCTTCAAGTGTTGTCCAACCGCAGCAACAGACAGTTACATCCGCAGCGGCTACGGGTTCATCGATCACTTCCACCAACACGGTAGTGTCCAAGACCATCGTCACATCAGCGCCCCCGCCAGCAACGATGACCACCTTACCGTTTGCATCGACAACAGCTTCTTCCGCTAGTGGTGGTACCAGCCCATCAAAATCGATCAGCTCATCGCAACAGCAGCAACAGTCACACACTAAACAGCTAGCCAACATGGTAGACAAGATGAGTATAAAGGAAGACGCTCCCTAAAACAATTATGCCTGCATTGTATTAGGAATTTCCCAGCAAAAAGAAAAATACGCTCTGTTAGTAATGGTTATGAATATCATAATATTTTGTTCATGCAATTGTTAGTTCTTTTTTTTTCGTTACTTGAGTATCGTTATTTGAGTTGCGATACACGCAAGAAAAACTTGTTTTATTTATTGTACGAAACCGTAGAATAAGAAGGAAGCACAGGTCGACCAGTTCGAGCACATCGAACTGTGGTACTAGGAATAATCGAAATTGGAAGCGAATTGGAAAGTCTAGCTAGCGAATCACACTGTAGTAAAAGGTCCCACCTGCCCAACAGCACATTAGACGAAACACTACTGAAGAAGTTGAATAAAACATATTATTGTGATGTGTCGTAGCAAAGAGTGTAAAAGTCAAGAAATGAGGTGGTACAGTAGCAATAATTGTAAAATAGCGTCGCACTGAATTTTAAATCTTAGGATCGTGCTAGAGTTTTCTTTTTTCTTTTTTATCTTATTTGAGCAATCAAACCGAAAAGCATGCAACCGTTTCGATTTAGAAAGTTTAAGCAAAAAAAAAATGTTAGGTAACAAATACACGCATGAAATAATATAATAATGGAAGGATTTAAATTTGTGTGATATTTTGAATTAAATTATGTAAGATGTAATGCAAGAAAAAAATACACTACAGTTACACACAGACATAGCAAATAGGAATAAAGGAAAACCAGTTTAATGTAACGTCAAACATAGCTTACAAAAGTCTTTAACACGAACAGAAATCAATCGCCACTGCGCGGCTTATACTTTGGAAGCTTGCTGAGCGAAAACAAAAAAAAAATATCACGCCTAACTAATGAATAGGGGGAAAATTGAATGGATTCGAAGCACTGGAATGGACGATTTGGCAAGCGGATGGGTTCGGGTTTAGAGATGGATTGACTTCTAAACAAATTTTTGTTAACGATTCATTGGTTTTCTTGTAAATTTGCCATGCTTTCGATGCAAATTTAACATATTGAAAATCATTACTGAAGTTTAGGAACTGGTGGAGGATAAGAAGGAAATGGTAGAAGATATCTAGTTTGATCAGTAGGTTAAAGCGGCTGAATTGATTTTTGACGGTGAGATTTTGAACACAATCAGGATAAAGTTGTTGAATTACCTATCGGGAGTATTAAATTCTTCGGTAGACCGTTTTATTGTGCATATAAATTTGAAAAGAATCAATTTCAGAATTGCTGCGTATCGTAAAGAGATTCTCGAAAATTTTCTTTCAAGATCGTGAAGGGTTTCCAGAATAGCACGACGAATGAATAGTATAGTAATAATCTTTGAGTAGGCCTTCTTAGTGGAATCCATAAATTTCTAGTGTAATGCTTCTCATTTAAGAGATGATCTCATGCGGTTCCTAAAATAACTAATAATCCCATGTCATGAATGTTGCACAATTTCCATTCCAAAATTGTTTTTGTGGTTGACGATAATCTCAAGCACGAGTGAGACATCTGTTTATACAAGAAAACTTCCAAACCGAAAGGTTCTCCGACCGGAGATTCTTGGATTACCTTATTAAAATTCTTGATAGGTGTAGATTAGAGCTTCCAACTTTGAACCATTAGGTATCATCAAATGTTTGATGTTGATCAATCGCGATCGTAAGTGCTATCTTTCAGTTGCTAGTATGGGAAAAACCCGAGCTCATAACGTAGAATCATTATCAACATTACTCCATTGACTTTGAGAAAAGCATTAGATACTAATCGGCATTGATGCGCTATTGTGAATCAACTTTTTACGGCGGGAGATTGGAATTTAGAATCTAGAATGCTAAATTGTTTACCCGAAACGTTTCAGCATATTATCTGACTGGAGATAAATTGTAGTTCAAAACTCCCCTACACGATGTTTGGTTTCCATCCAATGCTCCAGAATGCATTCTGTTTTTACCCAACTTTACCCAACTAAATGTTGTTCATCCACTTTCCCCAAGAATTCAAACCGTTGCCGTTTAACCTCTTGACTTCTAACCCCCAATCACCACACCATAAAACACCAGGCTCCATAGTTCAGCAAAAGACACTCTCGACACTTAAGACAAAACTGTTTCCGCTTTGAAATCACCTTTTCCCAACCACCTCCTCCCCTATCCGCATCGCTCGCTCGCTCGAAACCAGCAGAATACAGCTTCCGCAAAAACCACCATGTAGCCACAGAAGCCGCAAGCGGTAGGAAGAGCAGAAAACAACAATACAGCAATAATAAATCTATACAAGTTTGAAATCAAGAAAAATAGAGCCCCCAAACCACGGAAACGAGAGATCTCTTTCCATGATATTAACATAAATTCACGTGTATGTACTATGTAGGTATCTGCAGAAATTTTCCAAAAACGCCTGCCACACACCAACAGAGAATACATTTTAGAAGGAGCGTGTAGGTTAGAAACATTCATCATTCATAGAACGTAGATTGAAAAGCAGGCGAATTATGCAAATTTTAGGGAAGCATAAATTTAGTAATCATCGTTATTGCTCCTCCGAAAACTGTAACTCACACACAGGTTAAAAAGAGAGATTGCTCGGCACAGGCAGAGCGCAGTCGAATGAAAACGAAGCGTGATTGTTGCTGACTTCGGGAAATAAATACTAATTACATTTTCAAATGCGTAACAGATAAATTAGCATCATACTCCCCAGAAACAGACTTAACACCATCCCCCCAGGAAGCCGGAAAAGTAATATCTACTCTACTAGCTGTAAGGGTGTCATACCCCTTTAAATTTATTAACTTATCCCCGCGACTCGCAAACAGCATCGTTCGCAAATTGTGCGCAATTCTACAGGCAGCGGTTCTTCCCCTAATTTTATCAATACGTAGAATTACGAATTCGTTGTAATTGATTCACCCTCAGCATCAGTTTCTAGCGTTGAAGGTCTATTTTGAATGTGATTGAAGTTGTGACTGCTACACACGGAAACGGCCCATTTTCAAATGCAATGTGAAACTATCTAAAAGGCTAAATAAACTCACTTTGTCGTCCCGTTACGTGATAATCCACATCCAATTTTGATTTTTTTCGCGTCGCCTTTTACTCATCAAGCGGAGATTTATTTGGTTGTTTATGGTCGTGTCCGTCAATGTTTGTTCTCTGGATTTTAATAATGATGCGAGCAAACGCAAAATCGAAAAGATAAAACGAATGTGCAAGGTGGCGTAGTGTAGTAGGTTTAAAAATACTGACAGAAAATGATTATGTATATGTGAAGGCACTACACAATAAGGCAACAGTGGCAGAAAGAGATTACGATTCAAAATCGAATCACAAGGAAAGCGATAGTTGGTAAAAGTCATGCGAATATATCCCTCTGAAAGGATGGGGGATAGTTGAAAAGCAAAAAGAAGGAATAATAATGTATAGGGAAACGAAGAGGTAGGAGAAGAGAGATAATGATAACAGAATGGCGAGAAAGTGAAAAAGAGAGGTAAAAAAGGTAATTATCATAAACACTTATCAATGTTGCTGCAGTGTAATTGATACATAGTGAAAATGAAGAAATGTTAATAAAACAGAAACTGAAAACGTACCCCGTTCGAAATGAACTAAAAAAAAAAACACTCTTTATGATTGCTTCGAAAATCCTTTGACTAACTTTGACTTATATCTACTTATTATTTAATCCTATCCTGAACCGGGAAACCGGAAAATAACTGGGAATTTGAAAAACAACCGGCAAAACCGAGAAAACCCGGCTGAACCGGGGGAAAATCAATAAACTGTAATACGTGGTCACTTCAATTATAAGTTGTATTTTTATTTTTATGAATGTACAAGTTAAGTAGGGGAAATTACTGCTTCGGCAGCCCAAATTGAAACGCTAATTTCACAGGATTTTCTTACGAAAACACTTCGCTGAATGCTTTCAAACGATTATTTAGGCTTTCAGCTTCAATTTGATTTTATTTTTACCACTGAGAAAAGCAAGGTTTTCTTGAAATTAAACATATGCGCTACAAAATGCTGCTGATTTCGAGTTGCCGATGAAAGCACAGCTGTTTAACAAGTCGATTGATTTAACAAGTATTGAAAGCACAGACAAACAGACATAACTCTTAGAAGAAAATTATTCAAAAAATATCGTCAAGCGTATTTTATATGCACACTAGCAACATCTATCATGCACATTCCGTAGCATTGTTTTGCAAACCGGAGCATCCCTCGTTCATGCAATTTTTCACGAGTTACTTATCCCTGGTCCTGCAACGCGTCAGCTGTGTTGAATAAAACCAAACAGATCGAAGTCAGTGATGTCGGTTCTACGAAATTTTCCGTAGATCTATAGAATTGATTGAATTTTGCAGAAATACGGATCCGTAGGACACATTCACAGAAGCTCAGTCTTTTTTAAGGATTTGTTTTGATTGTTAAGAGTGATTTTGTTTTTCGCTGGAAACAAGTATTTCAACGTGGTAATGCATCACTAATGAGTGCCCTTTCTACCACCGCTCATCACTTTAATGTGTACAAAGCAAACAATATGTAACAATCAATGTTATTCATGACGTATTGAACACCAGCTACTGAAAGTGGAGACAATATTACACTCATTAAAATGATTTGTTTACAAATTCTGTGCAAAGCTTGAGATCAAATTGAAATCAAATTTTGCTGTTTTGATGTAACTTATTTTGAATAGGGGAAAAGGTGGCTTCGGCAATACCTTAACCTATTATCGTCAGGGGGGGGGGGTAAACAAAGTCCTAGAGCACTCAAATTTGGCCAATGGTTGCTCTGAAACACAATGTATCCACATGCCAAAATTGAGCTCTCAAGGACGTTGTTTACCCCCCTGACGATAATAGGTTAAGGTATTGCCGAAGCCAACTTTTCCCCTACTCCAGTTGATCTCATTTTGGTTGACTTAACGGTTAACACAGCAAAAATGAGAGCAGAATTTTACACTGTTGAATCAAACGGAAAACTTATCCTGCTTTCAATAAACTCAATTTGATTTCTGATTTTGCATTCATAATGTTTAACTGAATACAGGCCTGGCGTAAATGGTATGCATCCATGCTTCTCATGCTGAAAGACTTGAACTTAAATCTCACCCCGGGCAAGTTTCGAATGACCTAAAATGTATTAAACAAAACAAATAAACAACAATCGTTAGTTCAACGACAGATGAACTTAAATTAACTTATAAACAAGACGTTAACAGCAGAACTTCAAGTTAAGTTGCTTTCATTTAAAAAGGCTTGACTGCATAATGAAAGCACAATATGATATCAGACTTATGTCTCGACAATTGAAATCAAAATAAGTTTTCATTATGATAGGAACTGCAAACTTTAATATCGATTTGCTTTCATTTTGTTAACCGACTTTGCTCGGGATGTGGTACAGTAATGGCCCGATATTGTCAACTCCTCCGCGCATCAGACTTTTGTCATTAAATAATTTCATAAAATCGTAATTCCAAATCATTCTCATGCATCTTCACGATGGGTGTTTAAGGTATACTTTGGTCCAATAAGACCACTGAAAAAGTGCATTAGTTTCGTAGAACATAAGAAAAGATTTTCAAAAAAGGGTCATTTATGTCTCCAGTGGGATACCTTGGTTCCCTTATCATTATCAAGAGCTGACATATACTAAATTGACCTGCAAAATAACTGGCATCACTGATAAGTTCGAAATTTAGTGACATGCTTAACGCTTCAGAATGTGATGGTGAGTGTTATGTTTGTTTGTCTGTGTAGAAAGGTTGCCGAATAAAAAGATGTTGCCCACAATAGCCGTTCTCACTAGAGCAGATTGGAGCTTTGTAAAAGCGTTTCAAAACAATTTTTGACAATTCTTTCGACTGAAATTGTTAGAGCAGCCGGCAGCAAAAGATTGTAAACAAACCAATACTGCATATGTATGTGTTCCTCAGACAAACAGGCTATAGAAACTAGAAAGATGGTCGTTGCTTAGGATGCCGAAAATACGTAAATTCCCCTATTACTGATGATGTGTGCACCAACTTATTATAAAGATTCTAAAAATTAAACTTTTGGGATCGCCATGATCTCAGAACCATAAAGATTTCAACTTCATCAACTTATTTGTTACTTTTCATGATGCTTTAATCACAGACAAACAGACATAAAACATTGAATATGTTTTGATATAAAACATCGTCGCTAAAACACTTCCGCCATCTGTTGAGTATACTGCGATGGGCAATACGCTGAACAGATGGCGGTAGTGTGTAAACGTCAAACGTAAGGGAATCGACTATGCGCGTCACGGGTGGCGGCAGGGTTGCTTCCACTCACTTGCTATAAAAAATGTTTTTCGGAATTAATTATATGATATGAGTAGTAGCTATACTGAAGATCCGAGAGATGTCGCCCCTTCAGTGGTAGGAAAATCATTTTTGCAGTATGGAGAATATCAGAAAATCCACGATTTGCGACTAAACATGCTTTCACCGAAGGAAACCAATAAACGAGTGTTTACCTTATCACCATAGTAATGTACTCGTGCAATTTTTGTGCATCTAAATCTGCTCATAAAGACGATAATGAATAAAAACTGAAAATTTTCATGCATTTCCAAATGGTTTCCTACCATTTCCATACATTTGAAAGTGACTGGCCCTCTGGATGTGGATGATGTCAAAAACAACAAAACATGATTAATTGTGCGATCGTTGGATGTTGTAGTGATCATTGGTACTTGTGAGGTACAGGCAGGGGTTGTAAACTAGGTGTTTGACGCATAAGGCCTGTCATTATTGCTTTCAGTTCGTCACAGTCGGCGATTTTACGATTCGTGAGCGCTCACTCTGAGTGAACGCTCACGAGTCGTGAATTTGCTGATTGTGACGCACTGAAGGCTAGTTTGACAGGTTGTATGTATCAAATACAAACTATCCAATCTCTTTTTATGTCTGGCAAGTACACAGTATTATTGTAGCATCCGGTGGTTCCATAGTTTCGAGAAGCATTTTTTATAGCGAAGTGAGTGGAAGTAACCCTGCTTGTAAGTAACAAGAAAAGGGTGAAAAGTATGTGTTTGACTCATAAAACCTGTCAATTTCGCTTTCAGAGCGTCACAATCAGCGATCTTATGATTCGTGAGTGTTCACTCAGAGTGAGCGCTCACGATTCGTAAAATCGCTGATTGTGACCCTCTGAAAGCAATATTGACAGATTTTATGTGTCAAACACATACTTCACGACCTCTTCGTGTAGCTTACAAGTACTAATTATCATTATACTATCTCATGATTTCATTATTCCGAAAAACATTTTTTATAGCAAGTGAGAGGAAGTAACCCTGGGTGGCGGTACTACCAAAACATTTAAATTGACCGTTAAATGCGTGTTCGATGAACAACTTGCTTGTCTGTGGTTTAATATTAACCTACTTAAAATCAGAAACATGTTTTTCCATAATTACCTTGGAATTCTATTCAGAATTATCACGGGGTTCACCTTAAAAAAAACTCTTAGAACTTTTCTCGTAAATTTGAGTTCATTTCGAAACTAGCCTTAATGATTTGCTTGGAATGTTCCGTAGAATTCCTTTAATATTATCCTGAGATTTCAGTTCCTTTGAAATTTTTCTCAATTTTTAATCATAATTCTCCTCTGGAATCCTCCTGAGTCTATCCTGTTTAAATTATGCTTGTTCCCAGAAAATTCTTGAAATTCATCTCAGAATTCCTTAAGGGGGATTTCCGGTTCATTTGAAAAAAATCATTTACCTAGTTACCGCCATTTTGTCAAATTTTGAGATTTTTCAAAGATTCTAGTTCATTCCATTCTCTGAACTATACTCTTCAAGAAACTGAGCCGATTTTCTTTCTAGGTGACGATTTGCGACCTCTAGGCTGCTCGCAGTTTTGGGAAGTACCCGCCGGGCAGCCGCCATATTGGACGCCATTTTGGATTTTTGGACTTGAAAAAATTCCCAGTTGTAGAGCAAGAATGAATAAAGATTAGACAAAAAACTCAGGTCTCTAACTCTTACCAGTTCCCTGGAAAAAAAAAATCCAAAATTTAGGTCAATTGAACCGGAAATCCCCCTTAAGACATTAGAATGGTTACCAAAATTTTGTAATAATTCTTCTCGGTTTTTCTTTTGAATTAATATCTTAATTCCTTTTGAATTCTCATAAAAATTACATAGATTTTCTCTTCAGAATTCGAAAGAATTTTCAAGGTTGCAGACCCTTGAAAACTTTCCATCCATCTGGGACCTTTTCTCAATCCCGTATTGAAAAATCCCTAATTTCATGTTTTAATCTAGGATCTTGTAACCTCCCCGAAAAAAAATCAAATTAAAATACAATGAATTTCTCCATTACCCCAAAAATCATAACTGAATTCATGGTTTACGAAAATAAAAGTCATGGTATTTGGAAATTTACAGCAAAAATGGGGGCTGTTATGTATCGTAATTCTATAATTTTTTACCGAACTTTCAACAGCTAACGTTCGGTAAAACTTTGACCTTCATTTCAAAAGCTGTTTCACTTAATTTTAATTTAAAAACACTGTCAGTTTTGTTTAAATAATCGTGTCTGGCCATTGTGGCAAAGTTTTCCTTGTTCTGAAGC